TTGTAATAACTGAGCCTTTACATCCTTTGGGGGATATATTAATACCCCACCTGTTCTCCTATTTTCAGAGTCACATGTTACTATATTATATCCCGCCACTTTTATTTCAGCCTCCATAATGTCTTCTGTTAGCCTTGTTTCCGTCAAGGCCGAGAACATGGGCCTCCTCTTCCTAAGAAGTTCTTATTCAATTTCGTCCTTATGTATCAGTAAACTTTGCGCATTTGTGCACATTAGTATTTCTCTTCTGCACCTGTTAAGTAAGTAAGTTTTAACTAGTCTAAACTAAGTAAGTTTTGATAAAAATTTTCATACAAAATTCAAACATTAATTTTATTTTTATCTATTAAACATTCTGTTTCCGTCAAGGCCGAGAACATGGGCCTCCTCTTCCTAAGAAGTTCTTATTCAATTTCGTCCTTATGTATCAGTAAACTTTGCGCATTTGTGCACATTAGTATTTCTCTTCTGCACCTTAATTGCTATTCATCAACGAGGTGTTCTGTTCTCTTCCGTTCTTCTTCCATCATCCTCTTGAATGTGGGACATTCTTTATCAAGTGCATCATGTTCATCGCTTATCGACACATGATACTTTTGTATCTTAAACATACAGTTTACGCATCTTTTCTTTGTTTCTTTGCATTCACTGCCTTTGTGCTTACCCGCACAGTGCTGACACGCCTCTTCTCGTTTGCAATACTTCGCAATGTGATTGTATCCCCAACATTTAAAACATCTTTTAACACTTACAAAATCTTGTACTGGACATTTTTTCCATCCCAAGTTAAGTTTCCTCTTCTCAATTATTTTTTTGTGCGTTTCAGTATCTACTTCAAGTATCACCGTACCTTCCGTGTTTCTTCTATCATTTTGCTCTCCCACTCTTACAGTTTTTCTTATCTTCTTGATTATTTTCATATGGGACGCATTCATGTCATTTTGAGTTTTTATTGTTTCTATCATTTGGCTACCATTCATTTCCATCTCTTCTGCATCTATTCCAATTATTCTTATCTTAGGCTTCTTCTGCCTATTCGTATTCTTCAGGCCTTGAATTTCACTTCTTGTGCTGCATCCCAGTATGACCGCACCATCTCTACCCTTTTTTACTTTTGTGACTCCAATATGCATGCTCTTGATATCGATTCTTTCTTTTACTTGTTTCTTTGTGGTCTCACTTCCTTGTTCCTGGACTGGTTTCACTATGATGATATTTTCCGATTTGGCTGCTTGCCTATAGCTCTTTGGTTGACTTTGTACAACTTGAATGTTTTGTGGCACAAAGTTCAGTAGATCTTTTTTTATTTTATTTACTTCCTCACTTACAGTTTTCCTAACTAGAGTCTCTAATTCCATATCTTTCCAATAAATAACTTCCTGTTTTATTTCCTCAATTTCTTCTTTAACAATTTCTGTAATGAGTTTTTTAATATCTCTTTTTTCCACTATATTGTGTCTCATGTCACTTACAATTTCTACAATTTTATCAAGCTTCTCATCCAGAGAAGGTATCTTCTCCCCCGTGGATTGTTTCCTCTCCTTGCTACTACTCGCTCCTGTGTTTTTCTTTTCCATTAATAATATGGTTTCTGTGGCCCCTACACAGTGTACTAATTCGTCACCAACGTTGTACTTCTTGTGCAGTTTATGGCAACTCGGGTGAAAGATTTTGTCGCATGGAATGCATTTAATTATCTCTTTTAATATTTCCTTTTTGCATCCTCTGCAAATATTTTCATACAGCCCGCTTGTGCTGGCAGTCCTTACCGACCGCGTACTCATATTGAATTCACGACAGTATTTATATTATTCGCCACGTTATCGCGGCAATCTCGATGACGTGACCAGAATATGGCACCTGTCTTCACTGCTATCACTCAACGTTCTTTTCCGATTTTCTTGTATTTCGCCTAAAGTTTATCACTTTCGTCCCTGATAGGTTATTCACTTGATTCTCACATACTTTATACACAGATTGTACACACATTTATCTTCAATTTCACTCAAAAAATATTTTCATGCAGCCCGCTTGTGCTGGCAGTTCTTACCGACCGCATACTCATATTGAATTCACGACAGTATTTATATTATTCGCCACGTTATCGCGGCAATCTCGATGACGTGGCCAGAATATGGCACCTGTCTTCACTGCTATCACTCAACGTTCTTTTCCGATTTTCTTGTATTTCGCCTAAAGTTTATCACTTTCGTCCCTGATAGGTTATTCACTTGATTCTCACATACTTTATACACAGATTGTACACACATTTATCTTCAATTTCACTCAAA